GCTGTTAGATACATGTAACTCATATAGGTTGTCTATGAGATGTTCCGGAAATGTTTTTTTTTTTTGTATAGCGGAAACCTTAATTGAGAACATGTAGGCCTGGGAGCACTATTCAGGGTTAGAAAAGGAAATTTATACAAAACATTTAGTGACTTGTTTTATCTGATTTTATCTGATTTTGATTTGAAGTCTCGTTTATTATTACGAAAGCCGGATAGGCTCAATTCTGAGAAGATAAAAAAAATTAAATCGTTATAACGAGTTAGTTATCTCGTTATAACGAGTTAATATCTCGTTATAATGACTTAGTTATCTCGTTATAACGAGGTCGTTATCTCGTTATAAGGATTTCGTTATCTCGTTATAACGATTTAGTTATCTCGTTATAACGACTTAGTTATCTCGTTATAACGACTTAGTTATCTTGTTAAAACGAGTTAATTTTTCTCGTTATAACGACTTAGTTATCTCGTTATAACGAGTTAATTATCTCGTTATATTATATAACTTTGTGAAATCCGGTAATCTGATTGGTCAATACGAAGTACTTATATTTTAATAACGACCGCTGAAAGCGAATAATGACTCGCATGAGCTGCCTCGTTTTCACTTTCGCTTTAGACAAACATGGGAGTTCGCAAGTTGAAGGTGAGGAAAATTCAAATCATAGGCCTATAGTGAAGAACTCTGAGACTGATAATACAAACCAATTACTAGGATATTTGTGAATATTTTTCGGGAATAATAAGCACATACCATTTCATGGTTGAGTTTGACCTTTCCACTCAGCGAACTGAGCTTTGACGCTGTTTACGCGATTACGGAGACTAAAGAAAATATAGACATAAGACAAGCATGCCATGTAAGATTGTATCTATTCTTAGAAGGCATAGGTATTTATATTTTGTCAGTGCATTAATTTTCGTCTGCAAGTGTAACTGAGAGCGATTTTCAATCTGGGGGAGAGGGTACTCTGTGTTATTCGGAGATAGATATCTTGCGTCATTATTATGATATGGGAAATATATGCCGAAACAATTTCCTCTGAGTAATATTCAATGAATTCTGAAACATTTACATTCAACTTATTTATGGTTAATACTATCTCTGTAAATACTAATTAATAGGATGATCGATATACATTGCACTTATAAATTTGGGAAATTATTATTTATATAATATAATAAATATGGACTCGATGTAGGTCAATATGCATTTATAATGCGAACTCCCATGTTTGTCTAAAGCGAAAGTGAAAACGAGGCAGCTCGTGCGAGTCATTATTCGCTTTCAGCGGTCGTTATTAAAAAATAAGTACTTCGTATTGGCCAATCAGATTATCGGATTTCACAAAGTTATATAATATAACGAGATAACTAATTCGTAATAACGAGATAATTAACTCGTTATAACGAGATAACTAACTCGTTATAACGAGATAACTAATTCGTAATAACGAGATAAAACTAAGTCGTTATAACAAGATAATTAATTCGTTATAACGAGATGATTAACTCGTTATAACGAGATACTTACTCGTTATATAACGAGATAACTAAGTCGTTATAACGAGATAATTAATTCGTTACAACGAGTTAAATATTTTTTTATCTTTTCAGAAATGAGCCTATCCGGCTTTCGTACATTATAATGAATGGTGGCCATATAAAATTTATAAACCCAAAGGAACAGTGCACGTCACGCCGCATGACATATGGAATTGTAAAAGAGCGATCGATTATTTAAGAAGCTCAGAATGAAAAAAGAGTTTTACTGATATGTCAGAGAGAAAACAAGCTTAAACGTTTGAAGAAAAAACAGCTCTGATGAACCAATGGGTATCGAAAACATGTATAATAACACTAAAGCTATTTTTACCTCGCAAACAGAGTATGAGAGTCAGAATATTGTTTTTAATTAAAATTCATTTTACAAACATGCATAAAAAAAAATTTAAGTACATTTGAACGCAGCAGGTGAGTGAAGCTGTGAGAGTACAGATGTCATCCCATTTGCATTTATTGCATCACATATCAAAAATATAATGAATGCAATATACTGTGATACCTGTCTAGACCGACATGCACAGGTGTCGATATAGACAGCTTTCACTGTAAGTTGAAAATAGAATTTTAAAGTTGAAAATAAATTAAATATCTTTCAATTCAAGAAAAAAACTCAAATCAAGAAATATGATATTAGACATAAAGTCTGAAGAAATATATATCTGCACTGTCAATGCCACAGGAAGGTGTGTTATATAACTTATATTTTTGTTTTATATAGGTTAACGCTTAGCTATATATCGAGCCATTTTCAATGATTCTCCAACACCTACCCCCTCCCCATCTCCTCGAAACGGACGCAGGATAAAGTCCAAAGGGACAAGGAACAAAAAGTATGGAAGGTGGTCAGTTTTAAACGATTACCAAGGGCGTTATAGTTATAATGCAGTTTTCTTTCGTAAAAAAGTTTTCAATCCTTTTATTTTCGTTATCTTTTTACATGTAAATTATCCAACACTCGATGCGCACTATGTGTGAATTTTTCCTGTTCATGTACCTAAATGCCATTTAATTTTCAAGGGATTTATTGTAGGCCGGAAAATGAACTTATAATCATTCTTTCATTTTATCTTCTCTCTTTTTCTCGCTTTGTAGGACCGGAGTTCCTAATACCTATACAATTTATTTCTGTACTGTGATGTCCATATATAAATTTTACGTTAACTTATTTATTTGATAAAATGCTTAAGAAAAATGCATCTTGTCTTCAAAATACTGAGATGAACCTGTTTCAGGTTTGAGGCGAGGGTGATTTAAGTTTAGTTAGAATAATCTAACTGTGTCTCGGTACAGGCCCTCACCGGGTCCGTAGGACAATATCATTTTAACGATAGAACATTCTATCTAATTTAAGTTTAATGCTCAAGAGGAGTTGTTTAAAACAAGATGACTGCAAATACCAACATCCCCTTTTTTCCCAAAGGTATTTAAATGCATGGCTACATGGACTGAAGTAGAGGATGAGATATAATACATTTAATTGAAATTCTGAAAAACTGATCTTCTTACTGAATTAATGCTTAAAGGCATGCAATGCAAGATGTTATTGTTCTGAAAAATAATGAATGTTTAAATCTATGGAAGTATTTGAATTTTAAACGTGATAGTTTCAAAATATTGAATTTCATTACATTATGTAATGCCTTATGAAAGTTAAATTAGGAAATAAGCCATTTTTAAAACTATGACTGCAAATTAAATTGCTAGAAACTGGGAGGAGGTTGAACTAATAATGTACAGATTTCTCAAATAAAATTTGAAAATTTATATTTCAGATGTAGATGATAAATCTTATCAAGTACATAAGTATATAAAGTTCACCTGTATAGATTTTTATAATTTATTATGAGTAGAGAATTTGTAAGGGCGAGATAAAACCAGATAAATTATGACCCTTTATCAAGTATATAATATGTGCGTAATTTGGGAGCCTTGACTTTGGATGCGTATTGATCTAGTTATCAACTACAGTAAAATCAAAAATTGATATTGCTTCAACACGTTTATTATTTAAAATCCAAAAGCAGTGATAAACATAAATTGATTGTAGATAGTTGCATACCACACAGATCATAATACATACATGTATCTGAATAACATTAACATCAAATCACAGAATATATTAAGCCCTCTTTAAAAAAAAATATGTTTGCCCACTCTCCCTACTGCTTAAAAATGTCCAACTCAGAACTTATTAACTTCCAGGAACTGATAATTTTTAATTCCAGGATTTTTTTTTTTCATTCTGATAATATGTTTGTTGAAATTTTCATAAAAAATTTCACCTACCAACCAACCCAATTTCAAGTTGCGAGAGGGCAAAACAAACATTCTTTTAATGATGGCCTTGTCTTGTAAATCTTAACAACAATTAAAAACAAAACAAATGGATTAACACACACAGATTAACTGTAAAATAAGTTATTTATAGCATTAAGGTTCATTGATACTCTGATAAGAGAGATAACTCTACACATACTTACTGTAACATAATTAATGCACCAGTACTGTCCATATCAAAGATCTTTTACTTGTTCATCATGTTAACTGTTCACATGTTTACTTGTTCATTTGTTAAATTCTTGTTGTACCAACATACCCCATGTGGGGGCTTTAGTGAAATAAAAAGTTTCAAAGTTTCAAAAGCAGAGACAAGTCTACACATACTTACTGTAACATAATTACTTAGCATAAACTAGTTAGAATAATCTAACTGTGTCTCGGTACAGGCCCTCAACCGGGTCCGTAGGACAATATCATTTTAACGATAGAACATTCTATCTAAGCATAAACATGATTAAGGTTCTATGACCCTCTGAGAAGAGAAATAACTCTAACTTGGATAATTATGTTATTTTTAAAAATAAAATAGTCAAATTATAAAGGACATTTCTGCCTAATATTTTTCTGCACGATGTGTAAAAACAATGATCAAATGGATCTCTTTCTGAAAGCGATAAGCATAATACAATGTAAAACAATATTCTCTGAGTAAGGAAAGGAAAGAGAAGAGGAACCTTAATTATAGAAGCATACAATGAAGTCATGACATGGCACACAAATTGCATTGAAATAAGCATATATCACAGCTAAACGTTCAACAGCAAGTGAATAAATCTTAAGTAAAGATGAAATTAAAAAAAAAAATCAACAAATTAATAAAAAACAAAATATTAACAATCTGAGTAAAATTAAAAATTGTATAATAATGATCTTTCAAACATACATGTACTGTATAAGCAAATTCTATCTGAGAGCACCATGGTATATACATAAAATTAATCTACATGGTATAAATCACGTTTGAAACCTAACAGTGAAGGTCATATATTATTTAACGACTTTTGAGTATTTATTAACTTTGAGACTCATTAATCATTGGTGTGGTAAAAAATTAGCACATTATTAGTTACAAAATGTATCTTGATATGACTTTATACCAGCGAATAAAATTATCAAAGTTTTTCAAACTTAAGCATGTTAACAGATGGTTAAGGTTGTCTCCTTACCATGGTGACTCCAAATAATGTCAATGAAATAACAATAAGCATCTCTTGTTCATTGAATCCCAACAAAGTGAGTTATGGGAGGAGCATTAACCATCAACTCTTTGTATTTCACCGTGAAGTGCCACATCCGACTGAAATAAGTGTCCTCATTGTATGGGAGTCCATTTTTTCTTAGAAATCGGGACACGATGGGTTTGATCATCAAGCACATGTTGTCTGACATGTGAGGAAATAGGTGATGTTCCACGTGAGCGCTGATGATGCAATGTCCGAAAGTAAAGTCCAGTATGGGATTCCGCGGAAGATTTAACACCCCAGTAGACATCAGGTATATCTTCTTTGGTCGGTGGTCACGGGAGTACATGGGAAGTCCGATATGTTGGAATATATTGACATGGATGTAAGGTATCATCAGTAGGGATCGAGATACGAGTATACATAACAAAGCCCCCATAAAGGAAAATCCTGAAACTTTCATAAGCAGCGTGAAGTTGATGACTAATCCAGTCAGCATAAGGAGAACATATCTGGTCATTTTCATCCACTGGCCCCAGAGTTCTTTGACTGAGATAGGTATGGACAATAACGGAAGCAGGAGGGGGGCAAAGTACATGTAGAAAAGGGCAGGCAAGAAGGACACCTTCCAACTGCTCGAATCCCCGAGACCAATAATGTTGGTATGCGGGTGGTGTATACGTATATGCATATCATATCCGACATCAGCTGAAAAAGATGCACACACGTCTCCAAAGAAGAAAGCCCATAAGCGATTTATAAAGCGGGATTCGCAGACTGCATTGTGCACACTCGCATGAGCACAGCGCACAGAAAACATCTGAAAGCAATACCCATACATGAACACACCGAGACAAAAAGTCATCACATTTGAAGACTGTATACAGATCAGCGCCACATACACCATGATAAATCCCATTGAAGTGATGCACCAGTCCACCCCATATCTATCCCACCAACTGCATTGGTTCACAAAAGCAATCACTTCTTTGTTTAAGTCCGAGAATTTCGGTAATTTGTCTATCTTGACGCGATCGTATACAATCTCCGACCCACTTTCTTTGTTGGAATCTTTCTCCGAGACCGCGAATGACATCTTGATGCGAGGTCGCTGGTAAGGACGAGAAAAGTGACAGCAAATGCCGAGCCAACGGTATCTATAATCATGAGGTGCACTTTGAACCCGAGGGAGTAATAATTAATTAAGAAGAGTAACAATTTCTTTCTTTATAAATATTAAATAAAACTCACTTAAAAATTACTTTGTATTATTTAATTTTATTGAAATATAAATTTATTAAATAAAATATTTTTTTTTTAATTTTTCATCACCTAAAAGCGGGGATTTATGCTTAAACTCATTTAATATTAATGAATCATCCCCTAATCTAGAGGTGGAGGACGAAAAACAAAGATGGAGTCGTGTTTAGCAGTGGAGAGAGAAGTGGAAAGAGTTTTATCAAAATTTAGCGGTCTCCAGGACCACTCGAAGAAAAATTTAGAAGAATTGATTTCTTCCATACAAAGTATTCAAAAAGAACTTAATGAAGGTATGCGTTTCATCCTCGAGAATGTAAATATTCCAGATAAACATCACTGACTTCAGTTCTTTGTCCAGAAAATGTTGAAATTATCTTTTTAAATACTTTAATACATTCAAGATAGTTTAAAACAATTGCGTATAATCATAAGAATGATTAATTATAGTAATTAAATTTAATCCATTTTACTTATTAAGAGGTCTAAAGTTTCTAACTCGAATTTCCTCTATGTGATTTGTAGCCCCAGCTGATCATGAAATTACACCCACACAGTCCATAATCTTGATGCAGACAATTCGGAAAATAAAAGAAGCCATATCTAGGATGGGTCAGGAACACAAAGACCTACACAGCACAGTGTCAAAAGTTGGCAAGGCTGTTGATAGGGTGAGATTTTACGCTTGTAAAATGTTTAGTTTCTATTTTAAAGCACATCATAGCACGGATTAAATGAAGAAGAGTTTTTTTTGTATTAGAATTTAATTTACTTTATCCATAACATATCACTTTCTACCCCCAGAATTTTGTGACAGACTTTACCTCCATATCTCAAGACTGTAATTTAGAGGACGAGAACAAGAAACTCCTGCTAAATGAAGTGATTGCGGAACATTTCATGAGACAGGGCATGCTACACATCGCAGATGCTCTGATTGAGGTAAGAGAAACTAATTTAAGTTATTTCTGAATCATTTTTTTTTTCTGAGTACCTCTCTCTCTGAATCGATCTGTTTGAAGTGAAAAAAAAAAGACCAGAAATATTTCTTGTGTGTCGTAGGATGCAAATTTAGAAATTGCTGCAGACAAGAAGGAGCCATTTTTGGAGCTTCACAGGATTCTGGGCGGACTGAAACAGAAGGATCTGACTCCAGCATTAAGGTGACCAGAGTTTACTGATCCATGTCTATGTTGTGATTGTTGTAATGACTCCATTTATTTATACACAGAAATAGTACTAACCTTTTTCAAGGTATTATGAAGCAGCTGCCTTTAAAGTACGAGTGTATGGATATGACATACATGTATTTACAATATAGATGAGTAGTTTTTTCTTTTAGCATATTTAATTAAAGTATGAAAAAGCATGACAAACGTTAATATTAATTATTGACATTATTTACATAGGTGGGCGGAGGAGAACAGAGAACGGTTAAATGAGATTCGTAGCTCATTGGAGTTTAAGCTTCACCGCCTGCAGTTTATTGATCTCCTTAAGCAGGGCCCCTCCCTCCAGTCTCAGGCTCTACAGTACTCTAGGAACTTCGCTCCGTTCGCAGACAGACACGCCAGAAGTACGGTCTTGTCTAATGGACAGAAAATTTATCTTTTGGACGTTCCTTTTTTCCTTACAAAAACTGGATCATGATTTGTTTAGATACATTTTTGTTACTTGTTTAATATGATATACATTGTAATTTTTTACTTTTTTTTTTTAAATCAATGTCTTTGGATTCTTGATTCAGGGTGTTTCCTTTTGTACGTTATTCATTATTTTTTTGTAATTAGGATTTTGATGTTTTTTTGTATACAGTGTAGATAAATTTACAGATTCTGTTGGGTACAATGCTGTATATACAGCAGGGAATTGTTTTGATTTTCTTTTTTCCCCTGTAGATGTACAGATTCTAATGGAGAGTATACTGTATAAACAGCAGGGATTTGTTTTCATTTTGTTGTCTTTTCCCCCTGTAGATTTACAGATTCTGACGGGAATTAGATAATTGTTTTGTTTTTTCCTGTAGATTTACATATTCCGAATGGAGTAGATACTCTAAACGTATTACATTTGGCTGTGTATTTTTTTTAGTGTTTTTGGCGGAAAGAAATGTCCGCTAATTCAAGTACAGTACTAAATGTCTCGCACATATTTCTATAAAGAAAACATTTAGATATGCGCTCACTCCAACTTGTTCAAAGTCCAATTTCCGTCAAATATTGTATGCGCTAAATATAATACATTTACAGTAATTGTTTTGATTTTGTTGTCTTTTTTCCCCCTGTAGATTTACAGATACTGATGGGGAGTATGCTGTACCTACAGCAGGGTATTGAGAATTCCCCCTACTCCCACCTCCTGGCTCCGATCTACTGGGACGAGATCTGTGATGTGTTTACCAGGGACGCCTGCACTCTGCTAGGAATGTCTGTGGAAAGTCCACTTAGTGTCAGGTGGGCATTTTAAATTATTATATTTTTAAATAGGGGGGCTAAAGATAATTTTTTTTTTTTACAGATAAATACATGTAAGTATTAAGATACCTTGTAAGGTCTTATTTTCTGGTTTCAATAATGTTTTTTTAATGAACTCAAAGTATTACATGTACTACTTTTCTTATGTATTTTGTTTGCAAAGATATAACTTAACCTGCTCCTTTTGTTTCAGTATCCGAGCTGGCTGTCTGGCCTTGCCACCACTCCTTAACATCTGTTTATATACATGTAGTTATAAGTTTACCTGCTCCTCTGTTTCAGTATTCGTGCTGGCTGTCTGGCATTACCACCACTCCTTAACATCAGACAAGTGATGCAGCAGAGACAGGTGTCAGGGGTCTGGAGCAGCAAGGAGGAACTGCCGGTCAGTATGGGTCATATGGCTGGATGTCAGATAAATACAACTTACTAATATATAATCTTTAATAATGTAGCCCTCTCCATTTCTTTTTTTAAATCTGGATTTTTTCCTCAAAGAAGACAAAAAAAGGAAAGAAAATGGAGATGACTTCATTATTGCAGCTATGAATATACATGTATGAGTCAGAGAAAAACATACATAAAATTTTAAGACCATAGATTTTAAAATTAATTTGTCCATGTAGATTTATTTTAAATAAAGTGCTGCGCCACAGCATGATACGCCCGTCAAACAATTAAAATTTTCTTGAACAGTTTAGCGTGCAAGAAAATCATGTCAACTTTGAATTTAAGATTTCCATGATTTTTCCATTCTTTAAAATATTTATCCATTCCCTGTGATGTAGGCATTAATTATAATAAATATTACATCATTCTATACTGGTTGTGTAAGACCTTGTCAAATACCCATCATATTAAACAATATCATAGTCTTAACACCTTAATCTATACCAAATTAATTTCGAAAAGAAAAGGCTGGCCATCAAATGACATATGTTATAATTAACTGACCAGCACTTCTTCTGTCTAATCCCCACAGGATACAGATAAGACTGCTTGATCAGATAGCCTTCCTACATTGAACTCATTAATTAATCTTTAACTGGATGTTTGTCTTCTCATTACTACCAAGAGATGAATGGGTCTGCATTATCTACCATAATTTTTTTTTTAAACATATAAAATATTCAAAGATTTTTTTTGGGTTGAGATTTAACATCCGACAGGTTTTAATATTTAATTCATATGGACATGCTGATTTCACCCCACCCTATTTTTAAAAATTAGTTTTTAAATTGATAATTAAGAAATAAGGTATCATTTTTTGAGTGTTATTGGGATGTAAAACGGGTTGGTCACGTGATCAAATCCCATAAAGCCCGAAGGGCTTTATGGAAGATTTGATCATGTGCCAACCCGTTTTACATCCCAATAACACTCAAAAAATGATACCTTATTACTTATATTTACATTGGTGACTTATTCATACTTTAAATTTGCCTGATTGTGACTTTTAACTTGTGAAATGCATCATTTTTCAATCCCAACGGCATGTTTGTAATATCCTGAACGCGCGTCGACCCTTTATGACTTCACTGAGAAATTGCGTCGAACGTTTATCCATACTAACATCTATGACCTCTTGACCCCGTACCTGTATTTATACAGTTATAAAAACGCTTGCTTTCAGTAGTGTTATATAAAGGAAAACATTTGCAAATGTAAATATTATAATAAAATATCAGGTTAGTCTATTATGCAATATCAAATTAGTTTTAATTACTTTTCATCACATTCATTTTAAAACTTAGGCTAGCCAACAAGAGCTATTTTTAATCCTAGGCTTACCCATCTGCCCAATACCCAAGGGATATAGATAACACCAATGCTCTATCAGTTAGATCCTCTCACTCAAAACTCATTAATTTCTATCTAATTTGACATGCAAATTTCTGTTATCAAAATTCTTCTTGGCCAGTGCTTGATAATTACACTCAAGGGAGAGGTAGGATTTCTCTAACATACATTATATTTGTTATAGATTGCTGTCAAGTATATGCTTAAAAAGTTAAGTATTTTCTTGATTTAACACTTTTTTAATAAGGACAGTGCAATACTCTTACATTATTTGGAATGCTTAAATGATTAGTAAAAAGACACATTTTTTTTTAAAATTTCACTTAAATTAAAGGTCACAGTGACCTTGAAATAGGTCGCGACACACTTTCTTACTAAGATGTATAAACTGGCCAAGTTTGATGATTGTAAGTCTTATAGTTTTCTAGTAATGGGCCAGAAAGGATTTTTCCATATTTGGCTATAACTTTTTAATAAAGGGTCAGAGCAACCTACTTTTTGTGCGCTACACACCTTCTACCCAAGATGCATCAGATGGCAAAGTTTGATTATCCTAGGCCTAGTAGTATTAAAGTTATGAGCCGGAAACGAAAAAGCTAACAAACAGACAGACGGACACGAAGCCTATAACATAATACGTCCCGTCTGAAGACGGGCATATAAAAAGAAATTGAAATTGATAGGTTTTTGCCTTCACTTATTAACTATATGGTGATGATGATGATGTTGTTGATGATGATGATCATGTTTTGTAGGTGGAGATAGACTTTGTTAGGGAGTTAAGATACCACTCTATCTTTGTTGATGATGATATGTTGATGATGTTAATTATATGATGATGATGATGTTTGTAGGTGGAGATAGACCTTGGTAGGGAGTACAGATATCACTCTATCTTCGCTTGCCCGATCCTCCGACAACAGAGTACAGATATCAACCCTCCAATGAGATTGATCTGTGGTCATGTGATCTCTCGCGACGCCCTCAACAAACTCTCCAATAACAACAAGTATGTGAATACAAAATTTTAATGAGTCTCAATATTTTGTAAGGCAGAAAATCATATGTGTTTTTATGTGTAAAGTTTTATATTCTCTCTATACTCCTTAAAAAGTGAATTTTCCTATCATCATTGAAGTTGAATTTATTTTCCATTCAGTCTCACAGATTTTTCAAATACTAAAAAGAACAATGATAAATAAAACAACTCACTGCATACTTGTTGATGCTGATGAAATTAATTTTACTATGTAATTGTGTATTGTAGAGTGAAATGCCCCTACTGTCCGGTAGAACAGCTCCCATCAGATGCTAAACAAGTCTTCTTCTGAGTGACTTATACCTCAACACAGCAAACAATGAGATATGTTTACACTCACATGTATCTCCTGCTATTCAGGGTGTTTTAACATCTGAAGGAATAAAACAGTGTGATTGATATCACAAGACAGCAAAAATAAAGAAATGTATAGATTTCCTGCTACTTTCCTCTATATAACACCAGGAGGGTTATATTTGTGATTGGAACGCTACCAGTCAGATCATGTTTATACTTCAACCAATCAAAAATTGTTAAGTCAGCTGTGCCGACCCTTTGTTAAGACTGGTACCAAAGAAAGCATCTTTGTTTTATAAAGAGTTACATGTTTCTCGATGAAATATGGGTGTGATTTATTTGTTTCATATGTCTGTAAATCAACACTAAATGATTTATGTTCAGAACCAAAAAAAATTGACAAAAAAAAAAAAACAAGAAAAATTTACACTTTTCTGATATTTACATTGAAGTCAGTCTAAAGGAAATGTAGATGTAAATCAAAGTGAATCCCTTTGAGATAAATTTCCTCTTCTATTGTATAATTGATGTAAAAATACTATTTGTATTTGCTTTTAGTACAAATGATATAAGGTGTATGTTGCTACGTGTACATACTGTATATAAAGAAGTATTTATAGTGTTTGTTGGGATTTTTTCTTAATAGAAAAGCACCACATTGTAAAGATAATGTAGAGACAGGTTCATGGACATAGTCCTATAAACATTTCGATTTTATATGATTTTAGTGGACATCCAAGACAACACGACTAGTAATAATGTGGATCAATATCAATAACCAAGATAAGATATACAATGTATACATTGAACTAGAAACATTATTATGTGTTGATTAGGGGAATTTAGAGTCCAAGATCTTTTATGTATTAGTACTGATTTTGAAAAGCATAAAAAATATGAGGAGCACTGTATGTATGTACATGTGTAAATGTAAAGTTATACACTCTACAAAATCATCAATTTGAAGATGCCATTTACAGTATTGTTTTAATATTATCATTGCAGATATCTTAAGTTAATGAAAATAAATACAAAGGTGTGCAATTTTGTATTGAAATAAAAATTTCAATTTGTTATGTAAATATTAATACATTAAATTATTGAAGATATTGTTGTATATTGTTTTTAGCTCACCTGAGCCGAAGGCTCAACTGAGCTTTTCTGATCACATTTTGTCTGTAGTCCGTCTGTCTGTCTGTCTGTAAACTTTTCACATTTTCGACTTCTTCTCAAGAACCACTGGGCCAATTTCAACCAAACTTGCCACAAAGCATCCTTGGGTGAAGGGGATTCAAGTTTGTTCAAATGAAGGACCACGCCCTCATTCAAGGGGAGATAATTGGGAAATAATAAAAATTTGGTGGCATGTTTTAAAAATCTTCTTCTCAAGAACCACTGTGCCAGAAAAGATGAAACTTATATGGAAGCATCCTCAGGTAGTTTAGATTCAAGTTTGTTCAAATCATGATCCACGGGGGTAAGGCAGGGCCACAATGGCCGACCAAAGTTTTACATAAAAAATATGTAGGAAAATTCTTTAAAAATCTTCTTCTCAAGAATAACAAAGCCATAATTGATCATATTTATATGGAAGCATCTTGCGGAAGTGTAGATTAAAGTTTGTTCAAATCATGACCCCCAGGGGTAGGGCGGGGCCAAAATGGTCAACCAAAGTTTTACATAGAAATATATAGGAAAATTCTTTAAAAATCTTCTTCTCAAGAATAACAAAGCCATAATTGATCATATTTATATGGAAGCATCCTAAGGTAGTGTAGATTCAAGTTTGTTCAAAGCATGACCCCCGGAGGTAGGGCGGGGCCACAATGGCCGACCAAAGTTTTAATTAGAAATATTTAGGAAATTTTTTTAAAAATCTTCCTTCTCAAGAACCACTGTGCCAGGAAAGATGAAACTTATATGGAAGCATCCTCAGGTAGTGTAGATTCAAGTTTGTTCAAAGCATGACCCCCGGAGGTAGGGCGGGGCCACAATGGCCGACCAAAATTTTACATAGAAATATATAGGAAAATTCTTTAAAAGTCTTCTTCTCAAGAATAACAAGGCCATAATTGATCATATTATATGGAAGCATCTTGCGGAAGTGTAGATTAAAATTTGTTCAAATCATGACCCCCAGGGGTAGGGCGGGGTTAAAATGGCCAACCAAAGTTTTACATAGAAATATATAGGAAAATTCTTTAAAAATCGTCTTCTCAAGAATAGCAAAGCCATGATTGGTCATGGGACTACTTTTGGATTTAAACTTTTCAACAATACACCAATTTCTACTTTTTCCAAGCCACAGTTCTCAGGTGAGCGATGTGGTCCATGGGCCTCTTGTTAGCTCTTCTGAGCCAAAGGCTCAAAGAACTAATGCTATGGCCATTTGTGTGGTGTGCGTTAACTTTTTAGAATATGGACCATAACTCAAGAACCCCTTGGCCAATCATTGTCAAATTTGTTACAGGGTATCCTTGGCCCAAGTGCTACCATTTGTACTAAAACTAGGGGTGGGGCCCTAAAACAAGGGGAGATAATCAGGAAAATGGAACCAAAAGTACTGGTTGCTAAAAAATCTTCTTCTCCAGAACCACCAGGCAGATTTTCACCAAACTTACAAACAAGGGTCGAGATATGTTGAAGATTAAAAATTGTTCAAGGCATGACCCTGGGGCAAAGGGTGTGGTCTCAAGGTCACTTCAAAGTTGACCAAAATTTACACTTAATAAAAATGTTGATATTTTGCTTACTATAAAGACTAGGATCATGAAATCTTGTAAGTTGATGCATCTCAGGACTTCACATCATGTTAATACAAAAGTAGGTCACGGTGACCTACTTTTTAAATTTTAAGGGCTTTTGTTTTCAAATTGATTTTGAGGCATATTTTGGACACTTTAAGGCCTATGATCATAAAACTCTGTCAGTTGCACCAGGTGCACCTTGGGTCCTCAAACACCATCAACTTAAAAGTAGGTCATTGTGACCTACTTTTTGAATTTTATGGCTAATCTTTTCTAAAACATTTAATCCCATTATTTCAGACACCGAGAGGTTTAGAATCAACAAATTTTATCAGTTGATGCATCTTTGGTCTTCAAAAAACGTCGACCAAAAAGTAGGTCACTGTGACCTACTTTTGACATTTTATGGCTAGATTTAAGTATCTCGGGTACCTATTGGCCTAGAATCATCAAACTTTGTCAGTTGATGCATCTTTGGTTTTCAGAGATCGACGATCAAAAAGTAGGTCACGGTGACCTATTTTTGACATTTTATGGCTAGATTTATGTATATCAGGTACTTATTGGCTTAGAATCATCAAACTTTGTCAGTAGATGCATCTTAGGTTTTTGGAGCATGTCGACCAAAAAGTAGGTCACGGTGACCTACTTTTGAATATATCAGGTACTGATTGGCTTAGAATCATCAAACTTTGTCAGTAGATGCATCTTGGGTTTTTGGAGAATGTCGACCAAAAGTAGGTCACGGTGACCTACTTTTGACATGTTATGGCTATATTTAGGTATCTCGGGTACTTATTGGTTTAGAATCATCAAACTATGTTATTTGAAGCATCTTGGATTCTTTTAGAATGACCATCGAAAAATAGGTCATGGTGACCTGCTTGTGATATTTATGCGCAAGTGAGTTAAGGCTAAATATGGATATTTCTATGCAAATGAGCTAAGAAAAATTCATGATTTGTATATTTTATGTACAGAGAAGGTTCAAATTGATTTTCTTATACATACTCAGTACCCACAGTTTATTTATGCAAGTGCACATTATGACGTCATATTATGACGTCATTGTTCTCTCCCATTCAAGGTATTAAATCACATCAACAAAATCACGTCGGCGCAAGGGCATATCCTATATGATTTAAAATAAATAATGTATAATATGAAGGAGAATATTCTTAAAATTAATAAAATTGCTGCACAAATCCTATACGCGTTCTCAATTGATAAAAATTTTCGATAACTAACACTGGACAGTGAATTTTTACCCCGTTAAAACTTAAAACTGCACGAATAATAAGTAAACAATTGCAGTGCCGACATTTGTGCAGCGATATCTGAAATCCTTGGAAAATCCTGCGTCTTTTTATACCTTGTTTCTTTAAAATAAAGTAAGTTATGCCCTTGCGCCGAAACAATTTTGTTGATGTTTCTTATAAAGTTGTGTAGTAAAGGTCGATGACGTCATCATTTGACGTCATAATGTGTACTGGGTATCGCATGTCGTGGGTACCAATAATGTATAAGAAAGTAAGTCTTAACGTTTTCTGTGCGGTAGGTAGAGCAATTATGGAATTTTAAATAGATATTTTGCACAGGAACCTCCATATGTAGCCTTAACTCACATGTGTGGCCATATTTAAGTATTCTAGGGTAATTATTGGCTTAGAATTGTCAGACTTTGTCAGTTGATGCACCTTGGGTTTTCGGAGAATGTTGACCAATAAGTAGGTCACTGTGACCCACTTTTGAGTATCTCAAGTACTCATTGGCTTAGAATCATCAATCTTTGTCAACTAATGCATCTTGTGTCCTCAGAAAATTTCAATCAAAAAGTTGCCTGGTCACCATGACCTACTTATAGTATTTTATAGTTACATTTATATATCTTCAGCCCTAACTGGCTAAGAATCATCAAACTTGTCAGTTGATGCATCTTGGGTCTTTAAGACCCAAGATGCATCAACTGACAAGTTTGATGATTCTTAGCTAGTTAGGGCTGAAGATATATAAATGTAACTATAGAGGATAGATTGTATAATTTATCAGAAGAGCGATTCAAGGCCCTAATGGGCCTCTTGTTATTAATATAATTGTGAAATTGAGAAAAATATGAAAACTAAAATGTAACAAATACTAAACTACAGTGAATGCACATGTTGAACTTGGAATTCATGTTTGGATTTATTGAAACCCTCCCCACCCTAAGAGAGAAAATCATAGAAAACATTCTGAAAGAAATACTGTACTGTATATAATTTGCCCCTTTCCCTAAAAAATTTTGTTTTGTATCGAAATTGTTCTCCAAACTACTGTAGACAGAGAAACTTTAGCCCCTTTTTATTTTTACCTTTAAGTTATTTAAAAAACAAGAGGCCCATGGGCCACATCACTCACCTGAGAAGCTTTGACCATTCTGTTCTTTACCAGATTATCCTCTTGTAATACATATTGTGACCCCATCCTACCCCACTAATCATAATTTAGACAATTTGAAATCTACACTACCCCAGGATGCTTCCACATAAATTTCAGCTTTTCTGGCTCAGTGGTTCTTGAGAAAAAGATTTTTCCAATAGATTTCTATGTAAAACTTTGAAATTCCCCATTGTTGTCCCGCCCAACCCCCCGGGGTCATGATTTGAAGAATTTAGAATCTACACTTTCCCAGGATGCTTCCACATAAGTTTCAGCTTTTCTGGCCCAGTGGTTCTTGAGAAGAAGATTTTTCCTATAGATTTCTATGTAAAACTTTGATTCCCCATTGTGGCCCCGCCCAACCCCCCGGGGGTCATGATTTGAAGAATTTAGTATCTACACTACCCCAGGATGCTTCCACATAAGTTTCAGTTTTTCTGGCCCAGTGGTTTTTGAGAAGAAGATTTTCAAAGATTTTTCCAATATATTTCTAAGTAAAACTTTGATTCCCCATTGTGGCCCCGCCCAACCCCCCGGGGTCATGATTTGAACAATTTAGAATCTACTCTACCCCAGAATGCTGCCACATAAGTTTAAGCTTTTCTGGCTATGTGGTTCTTGAGGAGAAGATTTTTTCTATATATTTTTGTATAAAACTTTGATTCCCCATTGTGGCCCTGCCCAGCCCCCAGGGGTCATGATTTGAACAATTTAGAATCTACACTACCCCTGGATACTTTCACATAAGTTTCAGCTTTTCTGGCCCAGTGGTTCTTGAGAAGATTTTTTTAATGACCCCAACCTATTTTTGTCTTTTCTTGATTATCTCCCCTTGTGAGGGGACTTGGCCCTTCATTTTTACAATTTAAATTCCCCTACACCCATGGATGCTTTGTACGAAGTTTGATCAAAATTGGCCCAGTGGTTCTTGAGAAGAAGTTGAAAATGTGAAAAGTTTACAGATGGACGGACATGGACAAAATGTGATCAGAAAAGCTCACTTGAGCCTTCGGCTCAGGTGAGCTTAAAACAAATTATAAATACATGTACTGTAAAATCACTAATTTTTGTGGGGGTTTAAATTTCATTGTTTTCGAGGCAAAGAGAGTCTCACGAATTTATGACCACTACAAAATGTAAAATTTAATATACATTACTGCTTAAACATTCTCCCTCCACGAAATCAAGTCCCAACAAACCAAGATTTTTTCCTCAAACCTCCAAAATTTGACCCCATGAAAATATGTGATTTTACAGAACTTGGCAGTATTATTTTCAAATTGATTTCAAATGTGAAAGAGTGAAAATAATATGGGGCAAAACAAACCTGTATTTTGTACAAAAATTATTTTTGATTGCATGCCATGTCAATCAGGCAATTAAAATAAGAAAGCAACATCATCAGTGCAATATGTAATCCCATGCCTTTTTAGCTCGGGATTTAAAGCAAACAAGCATGGGGATTTTAACTGTATAGTATGTAGAACACAGTGGTCAGATGAATTTCATAGACAGGCACTTTTATTCCATCTTTCAAGAAATAACAATTCAGATATGTAAATCAGAAGTTTTAATGGACGGAGAATGCACACAATGCATTTAAAAATACCATTTACTGAAAGTTGTACATGTATTACATATTAACTAAGGAACTTGACCAAGGGTTCATTATTCAAATTCTAGCTTGACTAATTTTCTGACACAAATTATTCACAGCCAAATGTACAACCATCTTTCTCAGCACGAAGCATTGTATCTGAAAATAACATTTGAATTTCCTAGTTCACAGTGCAAAACTTTTGGTTACACAACATTTTTTTTTCGTAAGTTTTGAACACATTTAGAATATAGACCAAGAAGTAACAAAAGAAAACAGTTACAATGACACAATAACAAATTGGGCACCAAAAGAAATATACTCTATAAAAGCTATGTAAAAATAACAAGTTTTATTTGTAGTTTAGTATATTTTGAGACATCTCAGAATAGATTCTTTTTACCTGACTGACTTTTTGGAATACAAAGTTTTCATTTACGTTTTCCAAAAAGCTGATTATGCTTTTTCCAATTGAACATCACAGCTGCCCGTCCTCATTGTGAAATTTCAGATCTTACACAGAAATAAATGTATTGCACTCAACTTATGCACAATTTAAAATCAAAATTATGTGCAAATTTCTGAATGTCTAATAATTTAAAGTGCTTTGCACTTAAATGTTCATTTACATGTAAAATTGTCAGACAAATACATGTATTACATGATCTTAACAAACAAACAAAGAAGTAGTTAAAGTACACATGTTTATCCCAATAAGGCAATTATAACAAAAACATTATCATATAACAAAGTCATGATCTGTTATTAAGATCAAAATTTGAGTTTATATTGCCTGAGCATAAGAAAAATTTTAAAAGAAAATCAGAATTCATTGCAAACAATCAATTTAAAAAAAATCCTTACATTATTTTTCTCATCTGAAAACAAAAAGTCCACCATAGATTGAAAAGAAGATCTTGTACAACAGATTCAATAAATTACAACCATATCAATGACCTGTAAAATATTCACAGAGATCTAACATTTAACATACATGTATATTGCAGTCACACTTCCACAGGGCTGGGACGTCTGTATTCTGATACAATACACTATAGTGCATCCTGACACAAGGTTCCTTGATACACATAGCAATACACAATTTCCAGTAGAGTATGAAATAATTTTATTTTATGAATGAATGAATGTAGACAAAAATAAGGGATTTAGAAAGTTTTTAAATTCTTTTTTTAATAATCACAACAACTAGTGTTTCATCAATATTGTACTTACTAATCACTAGATAACATTTCTAATAAAATAAAGAGTAAAAACCCGGAATATTTTTATCACTTGTTCAATTTTGCAAATTTTGGTATGTACGTGGCACTGTATACATACTGTCTCTTAACAATTTGATATGCAGCATGTTATAACAGGATACATGTATAATTGAGCACATATACCTTTAATACCATGGAAAAGTCAAAGTAATCTTGAAGTCCCAATTTCTTAATATTATTTAAGGAATTTTACCCTTGACATGTCAAATCTTGGGATATTGAAGTTTTTCCTCTGTCCGATAGAGTTCACAATAATTAGGTTTGACTGTATACATGTATCATCCCAGCCCTATTCTTTACACAGTTGTTCATCACACCAAGTCTAGCTCTGGACGTAGAAGGAGAGGTCACAGCTGTCGTACCCCGTGGTACAGAACGCCCTGCCCTGGGGGTGGAGGAACTGCACCCCCACCAACTGCTGGTCCGTGACACACTCTTGGTATAAGTACTCAATCTGAAGTAAAATAATTGACAAAATATAGGTTCAATGTATTGTACTTTATCAATATTTAATATTACAACTCATTGATTTCACATCAACCACTATGGAAAGCTGTTAAGAAATATCCAGGGAACCAATACTGTAAAGGTATTATATATAGAGTGTACAATATTTGGCGGAAATTTGATTTTTGAAAAAGTTAGATTTGATTTAGTAGATTTCTCCATTTTAATTTATCTATATACGTGCAAGACAGCTAGCGCTAAACTTGAATTAGTGGACAGTTCATTCCTTCAAAAAGAATACACAGCCAAATTTAATACATTATCATTACTTTAAAATTTCCATAATAATATTTTCTATGCCTTCATCCTAAATAATATTTACTTCAGCTGACACCTTGGGAACCAAATTAAGGTTTTCTCTTTGTCACTTTTTTAACAGATGCATTTACCCCCCCCCCCCCCCCCCATTCACAAGCAGAATTTATTCAATTTTTGTTGTTTATGAATACAAAACAACAATTTTTCATCTATGAGGTGTTTACATAGAAGTCAGAATATGTATTCCATACCTCTGGCATAGGACTGCCTTCCTTCAGCTGCCAGACTCGCACAAATGAATCTTCACTCGCTGATAACAGCTGAAAAAGTAAACACAAAATCAGTTTAGAAATACAGTGTATAGTACATTGTACTGAAAATAACACTTTAGGAAAATTTAATTTTGCTTAGTTAGGCAAGAAAATCTGCTCATGAAAATTTCCTTCTTCAAGTTGGTTATACTGTAATTTTATAATTATAGAATACATTGAGCAATAGCAAAATTCATGAAAATTTTGTTTTGTTTATAAATATACCAATCATTAAACATTCTCACTAAAATGACTTGTAGCAAAAGTTTTGTGATTTACAGTAACAGCTGGGAAAGTAAAATGTGTCTGCAAACTTTCTATTCATACACTAGGACATTCTCTGTAACTTACCATTCCATTGTCAGATGCCACATCTAAGGCGGTGACCCAGCGAGCATGGGCGTTAACCTGAGCCGCCAGTTTAGCTGTTTCTGCCGAGTAGAGTCGAATCTGACCATTACCAAACCCTGCTACAATAACATTCTTCCACAAGGCAAGACTACTGCAAGGAAATCTGAAATAGAAATGTTTAACACCATTGAATATGTCAAAATATCAATGCTCTCATATGTTATCTGGTACTTGAGACAATATGGAACCATTCTCTTCTAACTTAACAAGATTAGAACCTGGGATAAAAAGGAAGAGTTACACTTATATTTAGCAAATACTAACCTTTACCTTCACTTGCTATAGAGTGACAATTTATAATTCAGTAATATCAATATTCATTCAGAAACTATGATATCTATCTGAGCATGTGATGTAGTACCTACCCTGCCCCTGTGATGTAGGGAGTACCTACCCTGAGCCTGTGATGGAGTGAGTCTGTTTAAAGTTAGTCCCTGAGAGTGACCATATAATGATGTTTCCTTGCTCGTCTGAACTGACCATGGTGTTCCCACTGGAGGCTAAATCACACACAGGGTGTCTATGTCCTACAATGATTATCATGTTCCATCAAATCAATACTGAGGAAATTCAATTTCTATAATCTTCAGTATTTCTTTTCCTTTGGGACAAAAAATTAGCAGATAATATTTTTCATTGCCATATTTGCCATAATTGAATTGAATAGGAAAACAACATGAAGGTTGTTGTTAATCAGTTCATGACTACCTACCTATTAAGCTTTCCTTCAATGTAACATTTGTTCCCTTTGCTGGGACATTGAATACATGGATTTCTCCCAGTTGTGTACCTAGAAAAAAGGACAAAAATATCATCAAAACTGTCAACCCATAAACTTTGAACAGGTGAATGCTTTCTACCCCACAAAAACTGAACTTTTTAAATGCTGTAGTATTTATGATAAATAATTCTTTGAAACTTTATAACTTAAGCTCTTCTTCCAACATATTTGTATAGCAACAAATATGACCTTACATTTTAACTGTACAATAACAAACATCTTCTAAGAAGCTTACCAATACAGATAAAATTTTCTCCTATTCCTGCAATTCCTCTTCCAAAATTGGCATGTTCTAAAAGAAAATGTTATAAAATACTTCAAATATGTTGGATGCTCTGGGCCATTAAATGTCATGTCGATAAATTAAAATACATTTAGACAGAGATGACTCAGACAAAAAATCACTTCCAACAACCATTTTCTCTTCTTTCAGTCCCATTTTCCTTTTTTTCCAATGTGACATTGTGTAGGTTACTTCTACTTGAGATCAAATTTAGGACAAACCTCCCAGTCACACAGGAAATTCTCACTAATGATTCTTCCTTTACAAAATTATGAAGCATTTGACTGATATGAAGATCAGAAATTGACCATTATTGGGTACATATCATTATTTAGCCATTATAAAAACAAGAGGCCCATGGGCCACATCGCTCACCTGAGAAGCTTTGACATTCTGTTATCTACTAGATTTCCCCTTGTAATACATACTGTGACCCCGCCCTACCCCACTGATCATAATTTAGACAAATTTGAAATCAACACTGACCAAGGATGCTTCCACATAAGTTTCAGCATTTCAAAGATTGTCCAATATATTTCTATGTAAAACATTGATTCCCCATTGTGATATTTCTATGAAAAACTTGGATACCCTGTTGTGGCCCTGCCCTCTACGAGGGGGTAATGATTTGAACAATTTAGAATCTACACTACCCGAGAATGCTTCCACATAAGTTTCAGCTTTTCTGACCCAGTTGGTTCTTGAGAAGAAGATTTTTAAAGATTTTTCCTATATATTTCTATGTTAAACTTGGATTCCCCATTGCAGCCCCGCCCTACCCCCAGGGTCATGATTTGTACAATTTAGAATCTACACTACCCCAGGATGCTTCCACATAAGTTTAAGCTTTTCTGGCCCAATGGTTCTTGAGAAGAAGATTTTTAAAGATTTTTCCTATATATTTCTATGTAAAACTTGGATTTCCCATTGTGGCCCCACCCAACCCCCGGGGGTCATGATTTGTACAATTTAAAATCTACACTACCCCAGGATGCTTTCACATAAGTTTCAGCTTTTCTGGCCCAATGGTTCTTGAGAAGAAGATTTTTAAAGATTTTTCCTATATATTTATATGTAAAACTTGGATTCCCCATTGTGGCCCCATCCTACCCCCCCCAGAGTCATGATTTTTACAATTTAGAATCTGCACTACCCCAGGATGCTTCCACATAAGTTTTAGCTTTTCTAGCACAGTGGTTCTTGAGAAGAAGATTTTTAAAGATTTTTCCTATATATTTCTATGTAAAACTTGGATTCCCCATTGTGGCCCCGCCCTACCCCCAGGGTCATGATTTGTACAATTTAGAATCTACACTACCCCAGGATGCTTCCACATAAAGTTTAAGCTTTTCTGGCCCAATGGTTCTTGAGAAGAAGATTTTTAAAGATTTTTCCTATATATTTCTATGTAAAACTTGGATTCCCCATTGTGGCCCCGCCCAATCCCTGGGGGTCATGATTTGTACAATTTAGAATCTACACTACCCCAGGATGCTTCCACATAAGTTTCAGCTTTTCTGGCCCAATGGTTCTTGAGAAGAAGATTTTTAAAGATTTTTCCTATATATTTATATGTAAAACTTGGATTCCCCATTGTGGCCCCACCCAATCCCCGGGGGTCATGATTTGAACAATTTAGAATCTACACTACCCCAGGATGCTTCCACATAAGTTTCAGCTTTTCTGGCCCAGTTGGTTCTTGAGAAGAAGATTTTTAAAGATTTTTCCTATATATTTCTATGTAAAACTTGGATTCCCCATTGTGGCCCCACCCAATCCCCGGGAGTCATGATTTGCACAATTTAGAATCTACACTACCCCAGGATGCTTCCACATAAGTTTAAGCTTCTCTGGCCCAATGGTTCTTGAAAAGAAGATTTTTAAAGATTTTTCCTATATATTTATATGTAAAACTTGGATTCCCCATTGTGGCCCCGCCCTATCCCCAGGGGTCATGATTTGAACAATTTAGAATCTGCACTACCCCAGGATGCATCCACATAAGTTTCAGCTTTTCTAGCACAGTGGTTCTTGAGAAGAAGATTTTTAAAGATTTTTCCTATATATTTCTATGTAAAACTTGGATTCCCCATTGTGGCCCCGCCCTACCCCCGGGGGTCATGATTTGAACAATTTAGAATCTACACTACCCGAGGATGCTTCCACATAAGTTTCAGCTTTTCTGGTTCAGTGGTTCTTGAGAAGAAGATTTTTAAAGATTTTTCCTATATATTTCTATGTAAAACTTGGATTCCCCATTGTGGCCCCGCCCTACCCCCGGGGGTCATGATTTGAACAATTTAGAATCTACACTACATCAGGATGCTTCCACATAAGTTTTAGCTTTTCTGGTTCAGTGGTTCCTGAGAAGAAGATTTTTAAAGATTTTTCCTATATATTTCTATGTAAAACTTGGATTCCCCATTGTGGCCCCGCCCAATCCCCGGGGGTCATGATTTGAACAATTTAGAATCTACACTACCCTAGCATGCTTCCACATAAGTTTCAGCTTTTCTGGCCCAGTGGTTCTTGAGAAGAAGATTTTTTAATGAACCCACCCTATTTTTGTCTTTTCTTGATTATCTCCCCTTGTTAAGGGATTTGGCCCTTCATTTTAACAATTTAAATTCCCCTTCACCCAAGGATGCTTTGTACCAAGTCTGGTCAAAATTGGCCCAGTGGTTCTTGAGAAGAAGTCGAAAATGTGAAAAGTTTACGGACGGACAGACGGACGGACAGACGGACAGACAGACGGACGGACGGACGGACGACGGACACAATGTGATCAGAAAAGCTCACTTGAGCCTTCGGCTCAGGTGAGCTAAAAAGATATTACAAGCATATGTTTATACATCTTTGCTAGCCAAGAGTTTTGATGTGCAACACTCCTCATGAACCCTTTAAGCTTGGCCAATGGTGTTTAGAAATAATTGGGATTTTTTTCTCAAGTTGTGATTAGAGTCAAATGACATCATTCAACCATTGGCAATTGTTTTTCGTAAATGATGATATCTGCATTCAGGACACATTTCAACTCTTTAATCTTGGGAATGAAAAATGCAAACAAACAACTATTATCATTTCTATGAATAGCTATGGGGTCATCCAATATATAATTAATAAGCCATGTGCAAAATATGTGATCAAGAATCTATTTCTGTACATTGAAGATGTACATTTTGTACTGTAAATAACAAATAACCACAACTTAATACTTTCTGACTTTTTTAAATATGCTTCTTTATTTCTGTCACAGATGCAATCTGTGCATATAAGTGGTAGATTCGAGTCATATTGTGAAGAAAACAATCCCTTCTTTTGTCAGCACTATAGGCCAACTTTTATGAGGAGAGTAGCATATCAGACATCCTTGGCTCGCAAAGGTCATGTAAAGCTGGTTAGTATCTGATTATAGTCAAGTCATTATATTACCTAATATATCTGTGCTGTTGATATCACCAAGGGCATGCCAATATATCATTGCAGACCCATCTGATTCAAACATCTGTACAGAAAGTTAAAAATAAATCATTAATAAGAACCAGGATACTTAGAACACATGCTAAAATTTCATATACCCGTACATGTACATGTTTACTTCTAATATCCTATAAAATTTTAGCCTACAATCATATTTATAAACTCTTGATAGTTAACCACTTATTATGCAGTATAGGCAGTTCTACTTAATAAATACAAAGGATAGACAAGGAAAAGAGAGAGACTTTGTTACAATGTATAAATAATTATACATTTTCATAATTGATGTTTACAATGTCTATTACTGCTACATGTCTTTTCTGTTCTTTTATAATATGAATGAAGACATTTACCTGTATTCCTTTTAATGAAGTTAAAATAAAAACCGTTCTGGTAGGAAGGCATACCCATTTGGCCTGGAAAAAAACATCATAATTTAAAACAACATTATTTAATAGAGTTCCTCGTGAATGTCAACAATCATGTCTTCTAGGCAGTTGCAAAATTTTCAATTTCTAGACTCCCTGAAATATCCCACTATTTGGGTTTGTTTGTCTTTGATTTTTGTTTGGTTAGCATATGCTCCTCTTCCTGTTTATCATAATTATGTTTATCATTCACTATACATAATGATCATGATGATATGCTTTAATTTGTAGAAAATAAGAAAAAGTAAAACATATGAGCTTATTCTGATTTAACTGAAAATACAAATCAATCTGCATCAGTTCTGTATGAGAAAATTTAAAAAAAAATACATGTATAATATACAAATGTATATCAAAAAGAAAATCAGGAAAGCTAGGATCATACCACTGTAGCAAGATAGGAAAAATATTAAAGAAAGCTGTGAACAAATTAACCCCCTCCCATTAAAATGGTCTTCCAACTACTCACTGTCAACAAAGCTTGCCTGACAGTCACAGACAGTCTCCATGGTAATATACAGTTGTTGACTGGGGTACATATAGAGGGAAAAAAGTCAATCTGTTGGACTGGAGTGCAAGCGGTTGTCCAAGACCGCAGGCAACAATTTGCACAATTGTCCAACAGATTGACAAGTATCCTGAGACTCCTGTTGACAACTGTTTTGTTATACTCCTTTGTCAAATGAAAAGATAACTCAGTTTAGCTCTATTTGAATTGTCAGCATGCAACAGTCTTCTTTAACAGTTTTTTAATAGTTCCTGGATTGACAGTCGGGAAAACAGTGAAACTGTTGGACTTTTTAAAGTAAGAAATTATATAGAGACTGTTAAGTAGGGGTATAACAATAAGTTTCATTACTTATTTGTTATAATAGCTAAATTTCTAAATCCAACACATGTATATTTTCTGCTGTGGATCACCGAAAATCAACCAAAAAGCAAAAGCACAGCATATTTCTCAGGGAGGTATACTCCCTAAGTTAGTAAGTAATAAATAAGTCCCTGATATTTAGTAGGGTTAATTTTAAAGTCCTGTTATATTGCATTTTAGTAGTTAACTAGAAATACATGAATCAATCAATCCAACGAGGAAATTCGAATTAATGTTTTCTTTAAATCTGAAATCTTCATTGATAGAAATGATTACTTTGACACAATGAAATAAATACTTGTATAATCATTGGCGTGCTCTGCTGGGCTGCCGAGGGTTCTTTACAGACGATGTTTCTGCTATTGACAGTGGATCCATCAGTTGATGCCGAAATGATGTTGACAACAGCTTTATGGACGACGGCATAGTTCAGGACTCCTTTATCCAAAGCAACCAACACAGAAAGGTTGTTAGTAAGTGAAGATGCGCTGCTTTTCAAAATTAAAGGTTTCTCTTTGCGGTACATAGTGGAAAATTATGATTAGGTGTTCGTTGAAACTTGTGTTGCTCGGTACGCGAGATAGCGCATGCGCTAATAAGACAAAGTATTTATTTGATAGGTCATACACTAAAAGGAAATTATGTTAATGCCATATTAATCGACTAATCACGATAAATGAAGTAAAAAGGGAAGGGAAAAAATAAATCATATATTAAAAAATAATTTTTGCAGCAGATTTATGCTCAGACAATTATTTCTTTTTTTTTACGAATTGTTCAAAGAACAATCTGCTCGACACAGGAGTTGGGAAAACTCCGAGAAAGTTTAAAACTTGAAGTGCATCTATATTTTGTCAACTGTACAGCGTTAGAATAAACTGACAGCATATGATAAGTAGGTGGCATTAATAAGGAACTATTCTTAGCTACTGTGTCAAGGAAAGTTTTTCAGGAAACCGAGTAACAGTTCGCGATAAACTTCTAGCCTTACTTCCTGGTTGTAGCTTGTCCGAGAAGGAAATTACAGTGATGGTTTGGGAATACTCCTACTGAAATGTCAAGAAGAACGCAGTTAGCGGAGGGGGACGTACAGGTGAAGAAGGGGAGGCTACAGGTGAGAGACAGTTGTTTACATGTTATGTCATCTGGGAGTCAAGGGTCTATGTACTGAGTACATGGAGTATCCTACTGGATGTACATGATATATTAATGGATCAATGTAGCTAATATTCAGGTTGGAAAAAAAGTTGTTGTCATATCGTCATTAATTGCAAAGTCATGCTAAAGAGATGACAATCTTTTTTAACACTCTCTTCCCTGATGACATATCCCGTGAGGATCCGGGTTAGAATAGGTCCTCAGTACCCCCTTGCTCGTCGTGAAAGGCGACTAAATGGGGCGGTCCTTCGGATGAGACCGTATAAACCGAGGCCCCGTGTTACAGCAGACGATAAAGATCCCTCCCTGCTCAATGGCCCTGAGTGCCGAGCATAGGCCCAAATTTGCAGCCCTTCATCGGCAATGGTGACGTCTCCATATCAGTGAAATATTCTGGAGAGGGACGTTAAACAGTATATAATCAATCAATCAATCCCTGATGACAATGGAGTTATTCCCCTTGGATCATATTCAAAATAATTTTATTTTATTAGCTCACCTGAGCCGAAGGTTCAAGTGAGCTTTTCTGATCAAAATTTGTCTGTTGTCTGGCGTTGTTGTCGTTGTCGTTGTCATCGTTAACTTTTCACATTTTCATTTTCTTCTCAAGAACCACCGGGATAAGGGTGGGGCCACAATGGCTGATCAAAGTTCTACATAGGAATAATAAGAAAAATCTTTAAAAATCTTCTCTAGAACCACTGGGCCAGGAAAGATGAAATTCATGTGGAAGCATTTACAAATAGTGTAGATTCAATTTTGTTCATAATAAGACCCCCGGGGGTAGGGCGGGGCCACAATGGCTGATCAAAGTTTTACATAGGAATATATACTAGGAAAACTCTTTAGGAAGTTTTTTCCCCAAAACCACTAGGCCAGGAAAGATGAAACTAACATTGAAGCATCCCCAGTTTGTGTAGATTCAAGTTTGTTTGAATCATGACCCCGTATAAGAAGAATTTTTAGCGAGGATTTAATTTTGGCATTATTAGCGAGGGTGCTGAGATCGATTAAATTTCATATCGCTAAAAATTAATTGTGTTTAATTTGTAATAGCTTCTTTAGAAAACATTTTAAAATCGCTAAATTTGCAATTCGCTAAAAATAAACTCCAATTTTTAAGGACAGCTTGCTAAATTTGAGTCTCGCAAAAATTTCCACTTATACAGTATAATTCTTTGAATTCAACTTCAACAGAATGAGTCAGACTTAGGTAAATTTTGTCAATGATTGGTAATTTAACTTTTACTTTTAACATGTTTAAAGAAATTTCACTTCTGAATCAATGTTTGTACATCCTACACAAATTAACCATATGCTTTGAACACTTTCTGATACATGGGTAATCACTTTCATTTAATTTAAGGTAAGGGTTATTTTTTAAATAAGAGATAAAAGTATATCCATTATGTACATTAATCATACATTTCACTTTAAATTAAAAAGATGCAATCCTAAGCAAGAATGAAGATACATATATAGACTGAATCAGAATTATGAGGAAAATGGAGAATAAAATAGTAGGAGGTGCAGAGTTTTTTTCCCCTGAAAGTTAATTCAGTATTACTGGCAGCTTTAAGCTGACCATGATTAATTTAATCGCTTTTTTGGGGTGTATACATTGTAAAATACACTTCACAGTTCATTTTAAGTACACGTTGAGTGTCACATTATGCATACATGCCAACTTTTGAAAATTCCCATGGGGGATTTTGCCCGTGACGACAATTTTCAAAGCTTTAAATTCGCGACATTTTGTCGTGAACCTGAATCTAATTGTGTTTTCACTGATATCTATATTATTATTTATAATACATAATACATGTTCCTCATTTGAACATTTTTCTTCTGATTTCTTTCATATCATTCAATGCAGCTACCAACATAAGTCTGAATCTGATTCAGCAACCAAAACAATGTATAGTTTCAACAATTTAATAACAAATTTAAGAAAAATACAGTGGCACATGAAACATGAAAACAATATTGCATTGTTAAAATCTGGTTACTAAAATAGCTACTATTATAATTCAAATAAATAAAATGTTACAAACTAAAAAAACATCATGTAGTTATTACTATTAAAATTCAGGTAAGAATAGGTAAAACAGAAGTTTCAATCACAGTCAAGATACAAACAATAAAACACTTGTTAATCACCACTAAGAAACACAGTCTTTGTTATAAGACAAGCAGGCCTTTTTTGCTGACTGGAGCAATTCTTTGGAAGGTTTCACAAGATTACAATGCTGAATGTTAACTTTGGTGGTAAGCAGAGCACAGATGGTTTTGTTATCCAAATTAGCACGGGTCTCTGTCTGTATTTTCTTTACCATTGAGAATACTCTCTCACATTCAGCATTGGAGTTGGGCACAGTAAGCATGGCTTTCACTACTTTCCCCATAACTGGGAATCTTGGAGTCTTGGTAATGTTATTTCTCATTTCTAGGATCCTACCCCAGTAGAAATGCGACAAGAAACGGGAGGTTATGCTGTGCCACAAAATTGGCAAACAAAACCTCGGCACGTATCACATCTACAACATTGAACAAAGAATTTAGATTTATTTTAAAATATAAAATTAATTCAAAGTTAATGCATGTAAATTGTTCATTATCACAGAGATAATATATCTGTCAACTTACCCTCATCTTGGTCGAGTTTTGAACTGGTGAAGAAGTTTCTGGCAGACGGTGTCGAATTCTGCGACTTCAAAGTATTTTGGTGCAGGGCAGTGTTCATATGCTTTGTCACGTCATTCAGTCCACCATGGTCAACCTTAAAGTCTCTGTTGCACACTCTAAAATATGCATGAGCCTGTCCTTGTTTTGACTTCGTCAACCATCCGGTGAATCTAGCGTCAGCCTCCCATTTTTTCAGGTATTTCGATCCTAATCTACTCTTTTTTCGTGGTGGAGTTGCACCCATGGTGAATCGATATGCGAGATTCCCGATTGATCTCCACCATACCCCAGAATAGCATTAATTGTTATCAAAACATGATACATGCTCATAATTGACTGAGTAATCGTCACAGTACACACAGGTAGGTATCCTCGATAGGTAAATTACACGCGACCTAAGCGTGACGAATTCGGGAAATTTCATTGGTTAATAATACGAGAGTTTAACGAGATTTCACGATTGTCCCGATTTCAAACTCGGGTCAAGTCGGAAAATCGGAAATTTTGGTCGAAAAATGGTCAAATCGGGATTATGGTGTAATTTTGCTTTCACGATCGGGATAGCGGGATGGCATGGTAAAATCGGGAGAATCCCGCCTAAATCGGGAAAGTTGGCATGTATGCATTATGACAACATCAATATATATCCTTGTCATTAGGGGAAAAATTATTGCTCGATCTATATATTTATTTTTACACCTGTTTGATATTTGAAAATTGTATTAATAAATTATTATGAATTGTAAATAAAAACCACTTTCTAGCTGAATAAATTAGGTAAAAATTAACGAGTTACTAAATTCATTTAATTCAGATTAAAATAAAACAATGTTTCCCTAACCCCCATCACTGAAATTTAGAGCTAACAGAGTCAACTAGTCATACGCAACGTCAAATCTTCTTTAATTTCAAGACAAAAATGACTGACCATGGAAACAATAATTTATTTTAATCATTTTTTTTGTTTGTATCAAGAGATTAGTTAACAGACAATGCATGTTTATTATTTTCTCAGTTAGCTAAATAATCTTTTCTCTGAGAGGGATGCTTTTTAGCATGTTTAGATTGAAAGTGTATAGCAATTTATAGTGTAGATAGGCAAATAATCATGCATGAAAATCAAATCAGATTTTAATTTCACTATAAGTTCGCAATTTGTCCTTTTCCGCGAAATTAAACCCAGCGTGAATGCTTTCATTGGTTTTAATAAAAAAATATATGTTTAAACATGTTAAATGCTTACACGAAATTAAAATTAAAATCATTGCGGTTGGGACTTTTTAAGAAATCGTGAAATTTTACCGCCGTGGAATTAAAACAACTTACAGTATTTAAACATGTTAAATTTGTCTTGTTTTCTGATGCATTATCATGATAATCAATGATAATGAAACATAAAAAAAAAATCTGCAATTTTTTATGACACATATTAGATAAATAATTTAGAAATTAAAATTAAAAAACTATACCTATTTTGAAAAAATAGGGGTTGGAGTATACCAAACATTATGATTAAAATAATTTTTACCGATGCAGATGGCCCTGATGTACAAAATTTATGCAGAAGAAGATACAACTTGCTATTTAAGAAGGCAATGCTTATATAGTCTGAAGATTTATAATCCGGCTATGCAATATATAATGTACTTGAAATAGAAATTTAAAGCATTTATAAGTGCACCTATTTCATTTTTTTTTTTTTAGCTATTGGGTAAACAGGAAGTTTCATATGATTCAGTGTTCATATTTTATTAATAGGCATTTCCCTTACCAAAGTAAAATTATTGCAGCAATATTGCCGCTATATTGCGGCAACATTGCAGCAACACATTTTTGTCACCAGAAACAAGCTTTTTGGGTTAGTGAAATATCACCGCTAGCGGCAACAACTTCTGGCGACATTCTGGCAATACTGCCAGAAAAAATGAAATATCACCGCTAGCTGCAACAACTTCCGGTGACATTCTGGCAATACTGCCAGAAAAAAACTTTCTGGCAACATCTAGGATTACCCATGAGCCATTTGTTGAGCATGCTCAGTCATTTACTTCCTCTTTTTAAATAAAGTGGAGGGAATTCAAAGGCAAGCATGTTTTGCTTCATTACTGACTTGTATTAAGGTAATTAGAGTTGTTAATTGTGTACAGTGGGATTAGTCAAGATGAGTAGTAAGACTGCATAGTGTGGAATCTAGAAAAAAGAATTTAAGCAGAATTATAGGAATGTGTACTCTGTTTCCATATCATGCAGACTTGGTGAGTCAAAACCAAT